GTCATACGTCAGAAGTACTTTTATCATATGAAAGTCATAAAAATAATACGAATTACTATGAAACGAATTATGTACATGTGAAGTTTTATAACTCTCCTATTTAGACATAATAAGTTATCGAGTAATTTTGTTCGAAGAATCTTTAAACCTCTGTCCTGAAAATTTATCATTTTGCAGATGTGGCTTTATCACATCAACTGTTAAACTATTATAATACACACAATGGCATATTTCCATCTCCAAAGTAATGCAATCTGCTTTGAAAAGTTTAAAATAAAAAATGGTGAAAATTATTCTTTACTTATTAATTTGTTTCAATTTCCTACAAATACAAGCTGTCGTGTGATTTTCCTTGTAAATTACGCAAAGTTAATTTTTATTTTTAAATTGAAAAATATTTTTTTCTTCATACCAAGTGACGAGACGAAAAAGTCTTGCGCTTGGTGGTAAGCGATAGGCCTGTCCTTAACAGTAGCCTCTCAAAATTGAAAAATTTGAATTGCAAAGATTTGAGGGACACTGCCACTGCGCCTGTCGCCCTGAGACATATGCTTATTATTAAATTATTATTATTATTACGTATTTTTATTAAACTTTGATAAATCAGTGTTTTTTTGTCCATTTTTGCTTAGTTACAATATCTAAAAAAAAAGAAGTTTTTTCAATAAAGGTTAAAAAAGGCGGTTAACATCTTTAACTTCTACTTACATCTAATTATTTTTATCTAAATATAAACGTTACGTACTATTTTATATTTTAATTTTTCTTGTTCCGCTAAACATGCTAGTGTGTGTTGTTGTTGACTAATATACGTGACAAATGGTAGCTCAAGGGAGGCATATATTAAGTATTTCTTGATAAGCAAAGACTAGTAATGTACTAGATATCGTTGTTGATAAGCAAATCGCCGACATCCTTCGCGGGAGCTTGCGCACTTCCTATTATGATTGCGTAATAACACTTAAGTATTTTGTTCAGAAGCATTTAGATACATAGATAGATATACACTTTATTCTACCGTTCGTTAACTAAAACCAGACTAAGTGATTTTTTTTACATTTAAAACGGATATTTCACTATTTGTCACTTAGCCGCATTTTAGTTAGTGGACGACAGTATTGTTCGCGCACAAGAACAAAAACAGTACATAAACAGCTCAAAACAAATGCGGGAAAAGGCGGCCTTATCGCTAAGAAATCTGTTAAAGACAACCTTTCAGATAGAGGAAAGCTTGTCAGAGCGGGATACCTATATAGCATGCCAATAGCGAAATTTGAATTGTACAAAGAAACAAAACTTACATTATATTTTATTAAATAATAAATAATGGTATAGTATCCTACATATATAGTATATACCTACCTACATACATAATATATATAATTATATCTAAATAAACTTATACTTACCAATGAATATATACATATACCTACACGTTGCAGACTAGTATTTAGTTCTTCAAAAGTATTGATGTTAAAAATGCCTTGGCGAAAGAGAGAAAAGATTCCAAAACTGATTAGAATCCATTCATTACTTATCTAAGTTTAAACAACTATGATATAGTATTCTTATAAAAAAATTGTAACTTAAAAAACCAAAGACAAAGACACGACGCAAGCACATAGAAAAATTCGTGAGGTCCGTTGGTTCGTTCCGTCGATCTTTGTATTAATAGTTATAACAAACTAGTGGAGTATTTTCACAAAAAAGAATTGAATGTCAATTCAATAAAAATTTAAAATACAGTGAATAGCGACATATCTCGCCAGGACTGGTAGCTGTAAAGGTACTAACTGGGTTATAAATCTTTCATAGATTTCTCGTAGATGGCGCTACGACTAAAAAGTCGTTGAAAAACCAAATACAAAGACACGACGCAAGCACATAGAAAAATTCGTGAGGTCCGCTGGTTCGTTCCGTGGCTTAGTTGGTATAGCGTCTGGCACGGTAAGCCAGAAGACGTCGGTTCGAATCCGGCCGTATTGAAGGAATTTTTTCTGAGTGTTCGATATTTGTATTAATAATTATAACAAACTAGTAATTTCACAAAAAAGAATTGAATATCAATTTAATAAAAAATTAAAATAATAAATAAAATTAAGTTTTTTAGTTATTCATATGTAAAGTTAAAGCAAAAAGTTTTAATACTTATGAGATTCAAGTTTGTAAATTATGAGTAGACTAATAACATTGTTAAGTTTAAGTTAACGGTATTTATTAGTATGTTTTTAAAAATTATAAATGAAATCACTAAAACGGACTGTATTTATATTAGTTTTTTGTAAATTAATAAAAGATTCCACTACTTACCTCCTTACGAACAAGTGTGATAAAACCCATGTTTCGTTACGATAATACCGGTAAAGTACTGAGTACCGACATGGAAGGCGCCGGGCGCCGCTGTTATTGGATAATGAGCTAATCCGGCGTCAGCAATAGAATGATTGAATGATTGCTCGCACTCGTCATGACGTCGTAGATGGTATTAATCCACCGCATTAAAACGGTATCTTAGAATGCTATCGAGTTTTATCAAAACCTTGTCAAATTGATACCGCAACATACATTTGTTTAACGAACAAGAGGATTTGTCCGGGTTCAGGTTTTTCCATTTAAAAATTCTACTCTTCCATATGATCTACGCAGACTAGAGCACAGCTATTCTCACTGTGAAGTAGCAGTGTAATAGTCAAAAGAACCTAATAGTATGGAAGGATACCACACGCAGCGTCTGCCCTGCGCGGTAGGTACCTAACTTCTCCAATCACGTCAATCAATCAACATTGAGATCCTCAATTGCTCTCTCTGGCTGTACTTTATCTCATTACACTCATTTGGCACTTTTGTTCGACTAATTTTGCCTATAACTTTATAAAATTGAACTTTGTAACTTGTTGATAAATTTTGTCTGACAATATTCAAGCAAGTACAATATAAACCAGTTGTTGTATGGGATTTGTCAACTTATGGCTCATGGTGAAGGGCGCAGTGGTTGTGCCTCTCAGATCTTTGTGATTTAAAGCTCTGATTAGCAACTGTTGTGGACAGGCGTGTTGCTTACCACCAATTGACTGACTTCTTCGTCCCGCCACTTGGTATCGTCACAAAATACGAATGTTCTTTTGTCGTCATACAGAATAAAAAGTCATTGTACAAAAACAAGTTTGTATGTATTACATCAATCTTGCTGAGAAAAGATTATATATAATGTCCATAGCGTCTGAAATTACGGTAACTAGTTAATTAACAGAAAACTTAAGAACGCAATCAAGAGATCCAATAAAAATTCTCAGTTCAAACTACAAATACAACGATACGCTGTTTTCTCAGGCAAATAACCCGAACGTTTTTCCGCATTTTTCTTTTGTTAATAACAAAAAGCGGCGGCGGTCACGGTATCTGCACCACGTGAACTTGGCCAATTAATTTCTGCGATATTAATTAATGGATTCGAAGCGATCGCCGAGCAGAAACAGAAATTGCTGTTCTTATAAAGATCTTCGAATTTTAAAAATTGAACATTGGTTTTTTCTGTGTCGTGATAATGGTTACATTTGAGAAAAAAAAAAGTTTTTTTAAATATTTTATTGCGGCTATTTTTTGTAATATATTGTGCAAAATTAAAACAAAAGAACAATTATAGTGATTGACATTGCTAATTGTAGGTTTAGCTTTACTAAAAAGCATTGTTCATGCCTAGTTATGCTTAAAAATATAGAAACTTTTAAGTAATGGTTGTTTATTACAAATATGTAAAAAATATACTGCACATTGTTATATTGTAACCTCTGCCTCACATTCAGCTGGATTATAAACATGCAAAGAAACAGCACTTAGGGCGGAAACAATAATTTAAATGCTTTTTGTGCAGCCATAAAATTGTTCGTTGTACGGTATGCGACCACTTTATACAATTACCTTTGAAACATATTCCGTTGAATTGTATAAGTGGGACATGATAACACTTTGTTTAGGGGAGGAAATGGCAAATTCGACGTTACGTCTTTACCTTTTTTGTGCAACCGTAAACATTCTTTCTCGTGTGGAATGCACCACATTACGCAGTCCACAATGTCCGTAGCGAAATTCAAAGCATTTCCCCATAGCCGCACGCGCCGTCAAGTCTGCGCTAGTGCTTCGCCGATGTCTTTTTATCCTAGTACTTGTATTAATGGATACGACATTGACTTACAAATAAATGGACGACGGGTCTAATACAAAAACCACGAAAAAAATGTCCCAAGTCAACCTATTTAAACGTAGTGACATTTCAAGGAATATGAAAAAGCTAAAACGTTGAATTTAAATTGTAATGTCATCGCAGTACTGTCTAATTTTGCTTGCTTTGCTGTCAGTCGAACAAACGAAGACTAGAGCCTGAATGGCGCTCTGTATACGATTTAAACGCCCTATAAGTTCGGACACTTTTTAGCGCGGACCCGACGTCCATATAATTGTAAGTCAATGGGATACGAGAATCATGTTCATAACTTTCAACGTAAGTATGTGAGCACTTTATATTTTGATGGCTTTATGATGTAAGTTTCTTACAATACTAGTTTTTAATACGTTTAACATTTTGACGACCTCGATGGCCCAACGGTTTAAACTGTAGGCGCTGGATGAAGAGGTCCCGGGTATGATTCCCGGTAAGACTTAGTCGGAAATGAACTTTTTAAATTGGCTCTGGTCTGGTTGTTCTGGGAAGTGCCCCAGAGTGAATTCCTTTGCTCCGGTACTCATAGTACAAAAAATTTCTTAGTTTGATACCAGGCAATTGTATGGTTGTCTGGCACATTAAAAAAAATATATAGGTAGTATTCTTTTCTCGTTGGTGTTGAGCAATTTTGAATTAGACGTTTTATTGTGTGTTGTCTCAAAATAAACAACACAATGCCGAATTGACTACTTGTAAGGAGTAGATAATCATCTTACCTAATATCCCTTCATTCTTTCCAGAAGCAGATGCGAAATTGTTGACGTACTAATGTCTATCCCGCTTGTGTGGGCGATCTCCGGTCCTCATTGACACATCCTGTCTTCAATTGCCCGTCTCTAGACAGAAAGTGTTTAGTATCTACCAATTGCACATTCTACCACTGACCTAATTCTTGGAAATTAGATAACCAGGTCGATAGTCAATCATACATAGGGTAGTTACACAAGATATAGGTTACGGTCACGATTATTCACTACTGCCGCAGATTGTATAGAAATAACTTCATTCAACGCAGGGATTACTTTGTGATAGAAGGATCCATATAGAAGGATCTACTTATTTAGACAAAATTCGTAATCGACAGTTTTGACACGCTTGTTAGGCAATGGCATAATTAATGAAGATCGAAATAAATACTTAACGAGAAATAGTAATGAGTAAGATTTTCGTATACTGTTTTTTATTTGTAATTTAAAGATAGTAAGTAACAAGCTGACGCACCATATACGGAGCTATCCCTGATTGATAGTAACGACTATGCGCTCTCAAACCATTTTTTCCGAACGATATAACCTTATTTGTCGAGTCGAATCGGCATCGCTAAATACAGAGGACACAATGTGCGCTTTTTATGTGGACCCATTGAATCAATTTTGCATTTTTTCTAGTGTTTTTTGCGCGGTTTCGGAAGCCGCAGGTAGAGGGTACTCTAAGATCCGGGTCTCGCATTGTGTTGGACTATTATTGTGATTTAGTAATGTTTACAAATTCGCAATTTGGGAAGCAATAACTGTCGGGACACATCAGCTGCGTTATGCGGCCAATTGGGTTACACGCACGTTACGCTTCTCTTCTGGCATTGACAATATTTGCTCTGCTAACAGACTGCCAATATTGAAAAGCGTGTTTTACAAGTTTCTTTGGAGTATTTCTGGTTGAGTTCTTTGTAAAGGCCCGACTCCGGATTATAGGGTTTTCGAATTCCGTGTCATTTAAATGTCACTTGCATCGCATGTGGGTCTCGGATAAAAATTTTCCAGTTCTATTATTGTGGACAATTCTTTATTTATTCTTTATTGCATTATGGTTATTTTGTCCAATGTGGCATACCAAAACCTGGTTGCAAACTATGGAATTCCCTATAATATGGGACACCAGAGCAACGGAAACACTCCGAGGCACAACCCAGAACACCCCGGCGAATTTAGAAAAGTTGATTTTGCAAAGCCGTTTGACCTACTCGCACCTCTGAGTTTTTCGGAATTTATGTGCGAAATTTAATTTCAAATTTGCCATGAGTGTTTCGGTGAAGGAAAACATCGTGATCCATCACGTCGCACCTGCGCGTCGAAGAAGGTTCACAACTCTCGGAAAACGTATGAAGTCTCCCCACCCGCATTGGGCCAATGTGACAAAATATTGCCTAAACTAGGTACTGAAAATTAACCTTCATCTCAAATGCGTGATGTTTATGCGTTTTTTTAATACAATATCAAGTGACGGGACGAACAAGTCGTGCGCCTGATAGTAAGCTACACGCCTGCCTACAACAGTTACACTGTCACTCAGAGCATTCAATCGCAAAGCTATGAGGGGCTCTGCCACTGCATCCTGTCACCCTGAGACATAAGTTGACAAGTTCCATGTAATTGTGTCCATAAATTAGCCTGTATATAGTCCCTGTGCTGGGCGCAGGCCTCCTCTTATAATGGCTGGGGTTATAGTTCCAATGCGGTTTGGAAACTTCACGCACATAATTAAATTGCTTTGCAGATGTGTGCAGGTTTCCCCACGCTGTTTTCCTTCACCGAAAAACTCATGGTAAATTTATAGTTATATTTCACACAGAAATTCCGAAAAAGTTAGAGGTGCAAGTCCGAATTCGAACCCACAACCCTCTGCTTGAGACGCGGTAGGTCAGTCCATAACCATGTTACCATGGTTTAAAATGTTGATAGAACTTTAATTTTTTTTCAAATCGAACCTGAGACCTCTCTCACCTGGGCCACCATGGTCCAGATTAAGATGGAACGAATACAAAATTGACAAGTTATGAAAAGATTTTACGATAATCTTTATGATGCATACAATGCTATTATATTAAGTAGGAAAGGGTTCCTTTTTACAAAATTCATTTGACCGTAAATTATAACTGAAGAGATTTTAAGAAAAGACTTGCTATTGATTATGAACACGTTGCATAATGTCTAAATACGATTGAATAAAATGGAACGTAAATGGTGTAAAAAATGGAAACAAACAGTAGTAGTTAGATGCTGTCAACCGTGACGGGTGCGTGAATCGGAGCGGCGAGTGGACAGGCCGGTATGTGGCGGAACTAACAAGTCGTGTTACCGTTTGCCGTATTTTTACCGTAAACTGTAAAGCACTGCCAAACACGCACTACGCAATCCGCTTACGATCTATTATGCTAATACTACTTACGTACCTATTATTTGTTGATTAAGTATTCTCAACTTTAAATACAAATTATTTATTTATTTTATTGTAAGTCTTAGAACTAGATCGCAGTTCAAAATTATGTAAAAAAAACAAACTGAACACAATGAGAAAATCACTTTCATATGAACGACGAGACGACCTCCGTGGTCGAGCGGCTTGTTCACTGGTTTTCATGGCCATCATGGTCACCATCTCTGAGGTCCCGGGTTCGAGCGCCATCCGGATCAATGTATAAAAACATACTTTTCTATATTGTCTCGGATATGGGTGTTTGCGGTACCGTCGTTGCTTCCGATTCTTATAGCCTTGTGCTTCAGTTTAGTTACTTACTTTGTGATCAGAGCAACGTATGTGATGTTCTCTAATATTTATTTATTATTTAGGTATATGTGAAACGAAATATGAAGTACGATACTTACCGACCTACGTTATCATATTAAAAATAATAATAATTGTTTTAATATCAATTCACTTGTAAAATTTATGATATAATGAGCGTTCGACAGATTAGATTTTAATCGGAATAAGTAAAGTATTAATTAACGTACCTAGGTCAACGTCTGGCAATAGAGGAGCTATAGCGCCCGTGTAACACCTTTTAGCTCATTCCGCGGCATCGGCCATTGTTACGTGTGAAAGCAATTATACAGCTTTTATACAGTCTTGCGTAAATTGTACAGAAGCTACTTACGATATTCGGGATTATTGTCTGTTCTGATTGCGAGAGGAACTGTACGGGCTGGGAATTCTTATTGTTTCCAATTAATTGGTGTAGAGGTAATTGGTTTTTTATCTTACTTTTAAAGGCTATTTTTATTTTTTAATTAACATATTTTCTTACCGCTTCGAAATCTCTACTGTAAGGCATGGACTTATTAGATACACACTTCGCTTACCAGTCTGCCACATTACGTTTGAATCATTAATGCTACACAAGGCGTTAGTAGATTACGGTACCGATGATGCAAAAAAGGTGAAGGTGGTCAATTATCACGGTTATTGTTTTTGCGCCCGCGCCGGGCCGAATGCCGCCAGCGCCGGTGGTAATGTTTACTTTGTCTCGCGGCACGCTCCCTATAATCCTAAATAACAAATTATGAAACCGATGAAAAACCCCCCTTAAGCTGTCGGCGACCCTAAAGATAATGTTTGATTGTACACTAATGACAAGGCGCGGACTCGAACCCATCTTTTGTGTAAAGCCGACAGACATTAACGAACAAACAAAAAACATCTATTTTCTTTTCAATAAGGTTCAAAGTGCGATTAAAATTGTGATAGCTATTAGTGTTTCTACTAAGGAGGTCCTGGTAATTGAGCAATCATCTACTCTAGCTTGCGGTAAGCTACGCATCGAAAATAAATGAAATTTATTATTTGTTTTATTTATTCGTAGACCCACGCATTTTGCTCGTATTTACGATGAACAAATTAGTTTAGTTCATTCGTTTTCTTTGTTTACGTTTTACTGTAATTAAAAGGTATTGAAACAAAGCTAAAGGTTACGCGCACGGGCGCGCGGACGGTGTAAGTGTATAATGTATCTTTTTACTGAGCTTTACTTCTGACAAACAAGATGTGGAATAATATAGAGTAAAATTTTGTGCTGTAAATTTCGTGTAAATAAATATAATAACGTATATAATGCAACCAAACGTGATCAATGGGTATACGTGTACGTGGGATTACAAGAATGGGTGCCTGATTTTGAGCGCGATAAGCTGCGCCCGCGCACAATGACAACGCGCTGCGCTGATTATCTCCAGTACATTTGGCAATTCTACAAACAATTAAGTTCATTAAAATAAAAGGTATAAAACATTCACATTGTATGGGTGTCATTTAATGTTTTTTAGCATCTGCACAAAGTACCAGAACTGTTCCCAGTGCATACATAGCAGATAATGCAAAATGTAGAGCTGCAGTATTACGAGAACGATCTTGCAAATTCCTCTGGATTTGACTCACCGATACATTATGTGAATCATATAAATTTTAAGAATACGTTTTGCACTGCACATCCATCAGACAAGTTACCAAATAAACAAAACACCTGATTCAACCAGAAATCCTGTGTCATTCTTTAAATATACCTTTCGATAAAACATCAAAAGAAGAGTCAAACAGCTCGTGACTAATTTAAATACGATCCACAGGATTAACGCCAGGAAATCTGACAACAGGATACGTCAATTTAAACTAGTCGAAACTGAGACCAAATGCAATGAAGCACACCTATCTATTGTTCTCGGCGGGAGTAATTCTGGTGGAGTGCTGTTCGTTGCTTTTTGAGATTGAAACATTATTTTAAGAATGGAATAAAAACCGCGTCGGATGTCGTACATCTTATAGTGTGGACGTTAATATGTGATGTGGTAAAGTGGCAGGACGTGAGCGAGTAACAAAGGAGCTCGTCTAAACAGGCCATTAATAAGGAGGCGGCTCGCGAGACTCGAGCGGACTTCCGCCGCGTTCCGGGAACCGCTGGTACAGTCCAGACAGGAATAGCACCAGCCCTTCTCATCACAACTAAATAGCGATCAGTAGATATATTACACATACTGGTACTGTATATACAACGAAGCGAAAAGTCGAAAAGACTATAAGACTATAAGACCTATAAACTTTTCGTACATTTCATCTTTTAGACGCT